AAAAAAAAAAAAAGCAGGGGAAGGTGTTCTGCAGGGACTGGGAATGAAAAGTGCTGGACTTGGCTGCTTCAGCTGCTGCCAAGCCTTTCTCTGCCTTCAGCTGCTAAGGAGCTAATGACTTCCCTTGGAGGAGCACAAACCAAGGAATGAATGAGGTGCTGCAAAGCCAAGGGATAAATGCTCAGTGAGATCCTGGAGTTATTCCTGTGCCTCTTGTGGTGGTCAACCTGGGTAAGAATATATCCTGGGAAACCTTCTGTACCATCTTCTTTCTTGGCTTGATCTAACAAGGAGTTCAGCCTCCCCGGAAGGTGCTGGAAGTCCTCAGCTCATCTTCTTGAGGGAAGAATGCTCAGGTAGCCCAAGGTGATGCCTCCCTGGGCCCTGAGAGACCAGAGAGACGTTTGTCCTCACCCTCCAGCTGGGCTCTGGCTGCAGCTCAGTGGGTCCCTTCAGCAGCCTTTGCTCAAACCACCTCTTGGCTGAGCAATTAGCACTTGGCAGGAGGGAACGTCCTTCACGTGCTGACCTGGACACAAGCAGTTGCCTCCACCAGCTCTTCAAGCAGGGGAACCTCAGCAACCAACTCCCTGCCCGTGACATGATTTATGACTTGGCATTTCCAGGAACTGGCTGGATGTTTGTGTCCCCAGGGTGGTGTCTAGCAAACCTTTTCTACCCTGTTTCTTGCTGGCATCATTAATGAACCCCCTTGACTGAAGACCCTCTGCCTCTCGGGGAGAGTCAGCAAGTGGGAACGTGTCGTGTTGGGCTGGTGTCAAGTCCTGCCTGTGGGTTCACAGGGTTCATCCCACCTGGAGAAAGGTTAGCTTGGAGTGGGACAACATTGTCCTCCTCTGCTTGTTTGGCTGTGACCGAAAAATACCGACCCCAGACACTTTACAGGGCTGGTGAGCAGAGCTGAGAAGGCTGGGACAGGAAGGAAACCAGCTGTAAACACAGCCCAACACACGTGTCTCTTCCTGAGCACCATCTCTGCATGGCACACGTTTCTCTACAAAGGAGGGCCCGAGGGGCAGGTGGCACCTGGGAGGTGCACACTGGCTGCACACCAGCCACAGCTTCAAAGGGGGTGGGTAATCCCTCTGAGCCAGCTGGTAGTGTGGTTGCTCTGCCCACCCCAGAGGTGCTCCAGGATCCTCTCTGGGAACAAAACCAACCACCTTCTCACCGGTGCTGTAGCTTCTATAGTTTGAACCAGGTGGGCTGTCCTGTGGGTCCTGAGCAACCCTGGAGACAGTCTGAACTCCACATCGTTTGACACAGAATCATCCTGGTTGGAAGGGACACTGAAGATCATCAAGTCCAACCATAATGTCCTGTCAAGAGGCCCCCAACATGAGCCAGGGCTTCAGGAAACTTCCTGAGAGCTCATCCATCAAAAAGTCTTTCCCCTCTTGGCCAGAGCAGGCAAAAGCATTTCCTTTGCAGCTCTGATTTCTTGACTTGACTTTCTCCTTCACCTTTGCCAAGGGAATGGTCTGTGGCTCCGGCCCCACCCAGAGAGAGCTGAAGAGACAACAACCAAGCTGTGGGGCGGAAAGCTGGCCAGGACCAAGAATGAGCTGGTTGTCAACGATGCTGATTGTATAAAATCAAATAGATTGGCAGAGGGATGAGGAGGAGGAAGGGATGCCCACACGCTCACCTCTCTCCTCCCCCTCCATCCCCCCGAAAAAGTTACGGGTCTGGTTGTTTTTTTGTAAAGAAACCAACACAAAGAGAGTCTCTGCACAGGCTTGTGCCCACCTTGCCTCACATCACAGAGAGGCCCAGGACAGCCAGGGTGGAGAGAAGCCAGGTCTGCAGTGGAGAAGGAGCTGCTGGGCTGGAGGTCCCTGATGACAGCCGAGTGGAGCCCCGCAGGAGCCTCTCCTCCCTGGCCACCTGCACG